GCGGCCAATTGAATTACAATTCACCCCATAATAGCTATCTGAACCAGCCTATCACCTTGGTCAGAATTGGCACCCAAAAGGCGAGGCCCACACTCCTCGGTAGCTAGGGAGACAGCATGTGCGCCCTACTGATTGGATGTCTCCACCGGGCCCGACTCATCCCTGCATTCGGGCTGTTATCTCCACCTGACCTGACCCGCCCTTGTATTTGGGCTCTGTTATCAGAGCCCAAATTTTACTGGTTTCCTGGACTTGCTTTTAAGTAAGTTCCCCTGGGGGGTGGGGGCAGGGTCAGTTTAAGTTTTACTGCCTAAACAACAAAATGGCTGTTCAATCAAGGTGGAGCCACTCTGGCTAAATAGGCCCTTACACAGTTAAAACTAGTCAATGAATTCAGTCAAGCATAGAAAATAAATAAATATACAAAATCTGTTGCATTTCTGTACACCAATAACAATCAGAAAGAGAAATTGAGAAAACAATCTTACAATTGCACCAAAAAGAATAAAATATCTAGAAATAAATTTAACAAAAGAAGTGGAGAAAACCTGTACACTAAAAACTATAAGACATTGATGAAAGAAATTGAGTAAGACAAATAAAAGATATTCTATGCTCAGGGATGGAAAAATTAATATTGTTAAAATGTCCATACTAAGGGCGCCTGAGTGGCTCAGTCAGTTAAGTGTCTGCCTTCAGCTCAGGTCATGATTCCAGGGTCCTGAGATCAAGTCCTGCATCACGCCTGCTTCTCCCTCTGCCTCTCTCTCTCTCTCTCTCATGAATAAATAAATATTTTTTAAAAAAACTGTCCACACTACTCAAAGCAATCTACATATTCAATGAAATCCCTGTCTAAACTCCAATGGCATTTTTCACAGAAACAGGCAATCCTGGGGCACCTGGGTGGCTCCATAGTTTAAGTGTCTGCCTTCAGCTCAGGTCGTAATCCCACAGTCCTGGGATCAAGCCCCGCATCAAGCTCCCGACTCAGCAGAGTCTGCTGCTCCCTCTCCCCTCTGCTTGTGCTGTCTCTCGCTATCTATCTCTCTCTCTTTCTCAAATAAATGAAATCTTAGAAAAAAAAAAAAAAAAGAAAGAAAAAGAAAAGAAATAGACAATCCTAAAAATTGTATGGAACCACAAAAGACCCCAAATAGTCAAGACAATCTTGATAAGAACAACACTGGAGACAACATGCTCCCTGATTTCAAACTATATTACAAAGCTATCGTAATCAAATCTCTATGTATTGACATAAAAGAGACACAGAGATCAATGGAACAGAAAAGAGATCCCAGAAATAAACCCACAATAAATTAATCTGTGACAAGGGGGGGTTACATGAGTGATGGGAGTCAAAAAGTACAAACTTCCACTTACAAAAATAAGTCACCTTGCCAAAGCACTCCCTTCACAGAGCACCCTGGGAACCCCCAATTTGTGACCCACCTCAGCTCCAGCCACCCTGTCAGGGTACCCCCTCTAAGTAGCACCCCAGAAACCCCTGGCCCATACCCTGCCTTGGCTCCAGCCACCCCACCAGGGTGCCCCTATGCTGAGCACCCCAAGACACCCCAGGTTATACTCACTTCAGCTTCAGCTGTCCTGCCGGAGTGCCCTTTGTACAGAAGGCCCTATCTGAGGTCCTAGCCAATAGCATCAACCACCAAACCTGTAAGCAGGCTTTCAAACCAGTACTGACCAATAGAAATATGATGTGAGCCCCAAATATGGGTCTCATATGTAACTAAATTTTCTAGGAGACACATTAAAATCATTCTAAATAATTTTAATATATTTAACTTAACCTATTTATCCAAAATACAATTCTGACATGTAATAACACTGAAAAATTGAGACTTTAGTTTTTTCATACTATGTCTTCAAAATCCCATGTATACTTTACACTTATAGCACATCTCAGTTCAGACCAGCCTGTTTTTAACTGCTCATTAGCCACTTGTGGCTACTGTACTGCGACAGCCTCAAATGATTTAACCATGCAACTGCTAAGTCAATTCCAGCCTTGAGTTTTCCCAGCTGAGACCCAAACATTATACAGTTAGAAAATTGCTCCTGCTATGCTTTCTGAATTCTTGATACACAATCTGTGAGCATTAACAAAATGGTAACAAAGTCTGCGTGGCTTATTATGTACCAATAATAACAGATACCAGTCTATGAAAGTTCTATAATGTATTTAAATATTTTCCTACCCTAGGTGTTTTTCCCACCTCTTCCCAGGGTTTTATTACAAACAGTGCTATGATGAGCAATACAATCTCTGTAAGCTAGGCGAATTGAGAGTGGCTTTTCCAGGTCAATGGGAGCACAAATTTAGATTTACATTCATGTTGTCTAACTGCTCTCCAAAGCTTAACCAGTTTTCACTAATAACACACATACTGGGGCGCCTGGGTGGCTCAGTGGGTTAAAGCCTCTGTCTTCAGCTCTGGTCATGATCCCAGAGTCCTGGGATCGAGCCCCACATCGGGCTCTCTGCTTAGCGGGAAGCCTGCTCTCTCCTCTCTCTCTCTCTCTGCCTGCCTCTCAGCCTAGTTGTGATCTACTTGTGATAAATAAATAAAATAAAAAATTTTTTAAAAAACACAAATATGCCCAACTGTGCTTTTAATTAATACCAGCCCTTCTCTAGTTTGAGCTGAATGTTTAGTTCTTCTCCTTTCTGTTTTAAAAAATTCATCAATAATCTTGCTTTATTTTATATTTTAAACTACCAGTCATATATTTGAATGAAAGATTGAAGTAGTGCACAAAGTATATTAGATAGGTCCTATATTATTTCACAATTTGGCTTTTTTCCCCACTTATGTCTTAGACATCTTTCCCTGTTAATTAAAAAGTTAAATCATTGGGGCTCCTGGGTGGCTCAATGGGTTAAGCCTCTGCCTTCAGCTCAGGTCATGATCTCAGGGTCCTGGAATCAAGCCCCACATCCAGCTCTCTGCTCAGCAGGGAGCCTGCTTCCCCGCCAACCCTTTCTCTCTGCCTGCCTCTCTGCCTACTTGTGATCTCTGTCAAATAAATAAATAAAATCTTAAAAAAAAAACCTCATTAAGCGCACCTAGATGGCTCAGTTAGTTAAACATCTGACTTCAGCTCAGGTCATGATTTCAGGATCCTGGGACCAAGCCCTTTTCAACAAGGAGTTGGCTTCTCCCTCTCCCTCCGCCCCACCCCTTGCTCACGCTCACTCTCTCTCTCTCTCTAATAAATAAATAAAGTCTTTCAAAAATTTTAACTCATTGGGGCGCCTGGGTGGCTCAGTGAGTTAAATCTTCTGCCTTCAGCTCAGGTCATGATCCCGGAGTCCTGGGATGGAGCCTGACATAGGGCTCTCTGCTTGGCAGGAGCATGCTTCCTCCTCTCTCTCTCTCTGCCTGCCTCTCTGCCTACTTGTGGTCTCTGTCAAATAAATAGATAAATCTTTTTAAAAAATTAACTCATTAAATGTTAACCGATTAATTGAATACTTTGTAATGGTTATATATTAAATGACTGCATGGTGGTCCAATGAGTGCATGTATCTTAATTTAATCATTGCCCTTAATTTAATCATTGCCCATAGATACTATGGTGACCCCAACTTTTTTTTACCGTAGTCCTGTAAAGATCTTCTTTACTCTTTATTGGATTTTAAGAAGTAGAAATGTTAAGTCGAAGAGTAGCTTTCTAAAAGTTGGTCAATACGGTCAAATTACGTTTCCCATCATCAAACTTAATTCACAATTCCTTCAACAATATGTAGGTGTGCCTATTTTCTTGCACCTTCAAAAGCACAAAATACATTTCTTATAAATTTTTGCCAAAGAGGACAAAAAAATTTTGATGATTTTAATTCACATTTCTCTAAAGCTGGTTATCTCTTTTTGACTATTTGTACTTGTTTTTTCTGACAACTGTATATTCATATTCCAAACCATTTCTCCATTGTGTTTTTATATTACTCTTTTCTTTCCCTAAGATTTATTTATTTATTTTAGAAAGAGTGAGTGCATGGGGGAAGGGAAGAGAGAAAGTTGGGGAGAGAATCTAAAGCAAACTCCCCACTGGGCACAGAACCTGATGCAGCACTTGATCTCAAAACCATGAGATCAAGACCTGAGCTAAAATTAAAAGTAGTACATTTAGGGGTGCCTGGGTGGCTCAGTTATTAAGCAGCTGGCTTTGGCTCAGGTCATGATCCCAGGATCCTGGGATCGAGCCCCACATCGAGCCCCACATTGAGCCCCACATCGTGCTCCCTGCTCAGCGGGGAGTCAGCTTCTCCCTCTCCCCCCCCCCCCCGCTTGTATTCCCTCTCTTGCTGTCTCTCTCCCTCTATGTCAAATAAAGAAATAGAATCTTTAAAAAAAAAAAAAAAAAAGAGTAGTACACTGAACCAACAGCCATCCTGGTGCCCCTGGGATTTTATATTATTCTTATGCATCTTTATGAACTCTTTAGATATTCTAAGTATTATTTGTTATAATATGATGATAATAATATTCTCCCCAAGTCTTGTTCTTTGTATTTTAACATCATGAAGCCTCTGGTCATACAAAAGTTTTTAATTTTTATGTTTTTTTTTTAAGTTTTTATGGTTTCTGAATTCTCTTATTTAGAAAGACCAACTATGTTAAATTATAGAGGATGCATGAAATATATATATATATATATATATATATACATATATATATACACACACACAAATACACGTGTGTGTATGTATGTATATGTATATATACACATATATATATGATTAAATATTTCAAAAAACAAAGCCAAAGTCAAAATTTCACTTCATCATACCAATAAAAACCTTCTCAAAGAAAGCAACTTTTGGACTTTATTTATCAGATCTTTTTGAATACACAGGAAATATATGTATAAATAAAAATAGCTTCATTGTTTTAAATATAAATTAGACCACAATATGTAGATTTTTTTTCAACTTGCGCTCTTAACTTGAACAAGATATCATCTATTTCTATGGCTCTATACAGAGCTCTACCTCATTCTTTTTGCTTCCTTCATAGGGTTCTATAGTAACTATTTCCATGTTGATAGACATCTATGTTCTTCAAATATTTCAGTAGTACAAACTATACTACAGTGAACATCCTCACAAGTGAGAAGTTCTCCAGGATAGAGGCACACAGACTATTTTTCTTAAATGTGTGATTTGTTGGAAGTCTCCTCTTTGATGGTCAAAAGGATTAAACTACTTCTTCATTTACCACACTAACTACCTTTGATGGTTCTTTCTTTGTTATGCATTTTCTTATGTTGTTTAAGGGCCGAACTCTGGGGAAAAGCCTTCCCACATACATTACATTCGTAAGGTTTTTCTCCAGTATGGATTCTCTGGCGTTCAACAAGGCCAGACTATGCCTAAAGGATTTCCCACATTTCTTACAGTAATAGGGCTTTTCTCCAATATGAATTCTCTGATGTCCAATAAGGGTTGAGCTCTTCGTAAAGACTTTCCCACAGTCATTACACTGATAGGGTTTATTTCCACTATGAGTTTTCTGATGTTCGGCAAAGGATGAGCTATACCTGAAAGATTTTCCACATTTACTGCTGTGGTAGGGTTTCTCTCCTGTATGCATTCTTTGATGACTAACAAGAGTGGAGCTCTTCCTAAAAGTTTTTCCACATTCATTACACCGATACGGTTTTTCACCAGTAAGGATTTTCAGATGTTCCAACACAGTTGAGTTATCCCTAAAAGCTCTCCCACATACATTACATTTAAAAGGCTTCTCTCCACTATGTATTCTCTCATGACAAGTAAGAGCTACATTCTGAGCAAAGGCTTTCCCACAGTCATTACATTTGTAGGGTTTCTGACCAGTATGAATTTTCTGATGACATAAAAGGATAGAGTTCTTTCCAAAAGCTTTTCCACATTCATTACATTTATGAGGTTTCTCTCTAGAATGAATTTTCTGATGATTAACAAATGTTGAGTGCTTCTTAAGGAATTTCCTACATTCAGTACATCTATAAGGCTGCTTCTCTGTATGAATTTTATAATGATTTAAAAGAGCAGAACTGCTCATAAAGGCGATCCCACATTCATTACATTTATGGGGTTTCTCACCAGTATGATTTCTCTGGTGGCTAATAAGGGAGGAATTATATTTGAAGACTTTCCCACATTCCTCACATTTATAATGGGCCTTCTCTGTGGAAATTCTGCCCTCCCAGTCCAGGCCTCTTTCCATCACATCACTTCTTGTTTGCTCTCCCAGATCAGATCCTTCAGAAGTATGTTGCTTTAGGGTGGACATCTTTGTTTCAAAGCAATACTCCTGGACTGAAAAAATTGTTTTAATTCAAACATTCGCTATGTTGAAATACTGAAAGTGAGAGCTGCACAGCATAAAAATAATGTTCTATTTTACACAATTAAGGGTTATGTAAAATTAATTCATCCCACTGGTGATTCTTGCTAAGAAAAGATGGCAAGACTAAAGATAAAAGTAAGAGTCTAAAGAAGTGGAAGGAAGTTATATAATAAATATTCTATTTAAATAATGCAAGGAGCATCTAAGAAGTTGGCAGGTTAGGAAGGTCATATAGAAAACACATACCCTGAAAAATAGATGAGAATGTGAGAATAAATACATACTTGGAGAGAAAACCAAATATCCCAAAGCAAACCATGACTGCTAGGGAATATAGCTATAGGGTGGTACATTTGAGAACACTTTAATGTCTCCAAAAACTTAAGAATAACATTTCTCTGAGGATTTAACAGAGAACCAATATTTAATGTCTCAGAGAAAAAAAAAACAGACAAAATATTTAAGGAACAAAAACAGTTCTCAAGAACAAAAAATTTTACGGTAATCTATGTTTTTTAACATATCTTAAAAACAACACACCAAATTGTGACTTTTTTTTTTTTTTTACAAAGTACACACCTATTACCCAAGAGAAAATAGGTAAGACGATTCTGAAAAACTAATGGAGCCAAATTTCTGATAAAACAGTCACTGATCAATTCTTTTACTGAATGAATTTTTTCTTATATACATACATACATATCTATATTTATATCTTTTACTATTTGTATTTATTAGCCTGGGGAGAGATTCCATACATCAGATACTAGAGCTAAGACTTATTTTTTTAGGAAAACTCAAGTTGAAAAGGAAGGCTGGTGAGAAACAGTCCAGACCCTTCAAATGGCCTTTGATGGGATACACATTTAATGTGTAATGGTTAAACCAGAGAAAATTTTTAAGATACTGATTGTAAAGGTAGGTGGAGGCAAATTAGTCATATGAAGAGAAAGAGAAGCATATGGACACTTGTTCTATGACTTGTTCTACCTCTGCAAGGTAGCTTGCAGAGCAGTGAGGAAAAGGAGAGAACACTGGCACTTGTGAGGTATGGGGGTTGGTTAAGCATAAACCCCTACCTCTTGCCATGCTCAAAAATCAATTCTAAGAGGATGATAAATCTAAAAGTAAAAGACAAACAGTAAAACTTCTAGGAGTTAACACAACAGAATGTTCTCATCAACATGGAGAAATGAAAGATTTATTTAAAAGGACACAGAGGGGGCGCCTGGGTGGCTCAGTGGGTTAAGCCTCTGCCTTCGGCTCAGGTCATGATCCCAGGGTGCTGGGATCGAGCCCCGCATCGGGCTCTCTGATCAGCGGGGAGCCTGCTTCCTCCTCTCTCTCTCTGCGTGCCTCTTCTCTGCCTACTTGTGATCTCTCTCTCTGTCCAATAAATAAAAATAAAATCTTTAAAAAATAAAAAAAAATAAAAAAATAAAAATAAAAGGACACAGAGGGGCGCCTGGGTGGCTCAGTGGGTTGGGCCTCTGCCTTCGGCTTGGGTCGTGATCCCAGAGTCCTGGGATTGAGCCCCACATTGGGCTCTCTGCTCAGCGGGGAGCCTGCTTTCCCCTCTCTCTCTGCCTGTCTCTCTGCCTACTTGTGATCTCTGTCTGTCAAATAAATAAATAAATAAATAAAATCTTTTTAAAAAATAAAAAAATAAAAGGACACAAAAAGCACTGACAAGAAAGGGAAAGTGATAAACTAGAGGTCATCAAAATTAAGAACTTCTATTCATCAAAAGACCATTAATAGTGAAAAGCAAACCACAGAGAGAAGGGTGATACTGCATATGTAATCAAGAAAGGATTCTCTGAATAGATACTTCATAAAAGATGATATATAATGGCCTATAAACATTTGAAAATGTCCTTATCCTCATTAAATATAATGGATAAGGATATTAAAACCACAGTGAGATAAACAATACACCCAAAGAATACCTAACTTCAAAAGATTAGCATTATCAAGTGTTGATAAATAAAAAAAAATGAGTACTCTCTCACACTGATGGCAGAAATATAAATGGAACAAACCTTTGAAAACCTATTTGACATTAGTTACTAAAGCTGAATATATGCATATCCCATAAAATAGAAATTCCACTCCTTAGGTATACACCCAAAAGAAACATATCCACACATGAACCAAAAGATAACCTACCTATAAGAATGTTCATAGTAACTCTTAACAGTCAAAAGCTGGAAATATCCCAAATTGCCATCCACATATATGAGATAAGCTATGGAATAGCCATACAATGAATAAAATACTCCAGCAATGGTTTTCAAAGTATGGTTCCCAGCCCAATAGCATCAGCAGCAGCATCACCTGGGAACTTGGTTCCAGCAGCAAGGACAATGAATTAAAGTGGCCAAATAAACTTTAGTGTTAGTTTGGGGGGGTGGAGAGAAGATGGCTAATTATCGGGAGGGATCAACATGTGATTTAGTAGTGTTGCCAATGTTCTTTTCCTTGACGTGAGTGCTGGTTACATAGTAGTGGCTTTAAAAATACTAATTCAGACTGTGTATATATATATTTTTATCAACTTTTCTATATAATGTATTAAATTTTTAAAAATTTTTTTCTTTAAGAAAGAAAAAGGAAGACTAGCTTATGAGTCTCTTAATACTTTGTCAGAGTAATCAAAACACAAAGTGCAAAATATCTAATAATCATGAAAACCATATCAGAATCTACTGAATACAACCAAAACACTGTACAAAAGCTGAAAGCTTTAAATATATATATTACATAAACAAGAATGAAAATAAATGAATTTAAGTAAACAATGTTAGAAAAGGTAAGTAAACCTAAGAAAACTAAAAGGAAAAGGAGTTAAATATTAAAAAATGGAATATAATAATAGATAAATACATCTAAGAGCTCTTTAAAAAAGCAAAAGTGTTAATAAATCTTAAAAAGGCAAATAAATAATGTAAAAAATCAGTAGAAAGTAACCATAAACGTAGAGGATATTACAAAATGAATCAGAGGAGTGCCTGGCTGGCTCAGTTGGAAGAACACATGACTCTTGATCTCAGGGTCATGAGTTTAAGCCCTGCGCTGGATATAGAGGTTACTTTAAAAAATAAATAAACTTTTAAAAAATAAATAAATAAAAATCAAAAAGATTCATAAAGGCAGGGTACCTGGGTGGTTCACTCAGTTAAGTGTCTACCTTCAGCTCAGGCCATGATCCCAGGGTTCTGGGATCAAGCCCCATGTTGGTCTCCCTGGTCATCAGGGAATCTGCTTCTCCCTCTTCCTCTGCCCCTCCCCTCAGCATGTCCCCTACCAACCCATCTTAAATAAATAAATACAATTTTTAGGGGCGCCTGGGTGGCTCAGTGGGTTAAGCCGCTGCCTTCGGCTCAGGTCATGATCTCAGGGTCCTGGGATCGAGTCCCACATCGGGCTCTCTGCTCAGCAGGGAGCCTGTTTCCCTCTCTCTCTCTCTCTGCCTGCCTCTCCATCTACTTGTGATCTCTCTCTCTCAAATAAATAAATAAAAATCTTAAAAAAAAAAAATTTAAATAAATAAATACAATTTTTAAAAAATCAGAAAGGTACTTTGTTCAAAACTATACAACAAATTTGAGAACTTGAATTACTGGATATTTTTAGGACATTATAAATTACCAAAACTGTTTTGAGAGAGAGCGAAAATCTACTTGGACAAGCTACTATAAAAGAAAGAATATCATCAAATAACTACTCCCCAATTCCTCTCCCCTGAACCTGCCATTAAAAATAAGTAAAAACAAAACAACGGCCAAACTTTCAGGGAACCAGCCATCATGTGAATTAAACTATACCAGAGGATGAAAATAGGAAAGGTTCAAAAAAAATTTTTAAGAGGTATTACAAAACTGGGGCGCCTGGGTGGCTCAGTGGGTTGGGCCTCTGCCTTTGGCTCGGGTCATGATTCCAGAGTCCTGGGATCAAGCCCCACATCAGGCTCTCTGTTCAGTGGGGAGCTTGCTTCCCCCCTCTCTCTGTCTGCCTCTCTGCCTACTTGTGAACTCTCTCTCTCTCATAAATAAATAAATAAATAAATAAATCTTAAAAAAAAAAAGAGAGAGATTACAAAACTGAAATCAAGACCTAATGAAAATGGCCTGACAAGAAAGAAAAATGTAAATAAATTTTTTATAAATATCAATGCAAAAACTTAGATAAAAGATTAGCAAACAGAATCATCTACTAGCATATTTAAAAAATAATGTAATGATGTCATAACCAAGATGGTTCTAATAAGAATGCAAAGTCGTTGGGCGCCTGGGTGGCTCTGTTGGTTAAGCGACTGCTTTCAGCTCAGGTCATGATCCTGGAGTCCCGGGATCGAGTCCCGCATCGGGCTCCCAGCTCCACGGGGAGTCTGCTTCTCTCTCTGACCTTCTCCTCGCTCATATTCTCTCTCTCTCAAATAAATAAATAAAGTATTAAAAAAAAAAAGAATGCAAAGTCGTTAAGATAATTGAAGGTAAAATTTACCGTATTAACAGATCAAAAGGGAAAAGAAAGATATTATCTTCACACAGGCTGAAAGGCACTTGATAAAATTCAATGTCCATGGGGCACCTGGGTGGCTCAGTTGTTAAAGCCAGAGGCTTTAGGTCATGATCTCAGAGTCCTGGGATTGAGCCCGCATCGGGCTCCCTGCTTGGCAAGGAGACTGCTTCCCCCCCACCCTCTGCCTGCCTCTCTGCCTACTTGTGATCTCTCTCTGTCAAATAAATAAATAAAATCTTTAAAAAAAAAAATCCAATGTCCATGCTTACTTGAAAAACAGTAATTTCTTAATGAAAGAAGTGAATTAAATACTTCCTTTACATAACATTTATGTATCCCAACCTAATAACCAGTTAAATGGAAGAATTCTAGACACAATCCCATTAAAAAGACTAAAAGAGAAGCATATCCATCATTACCATTATAGTTGACAATACAAAAAAGTCAATATAAAACAAACTTTAAAAAAAATCTACACTCAACCACACTCCTGATAAGAGAAATGCATACTAAATTACAATAAAATAAAAGGTTTTAACTATCAGATTAGCAATTATCAAAAAGTGTTAAGACACTCATGATGAGGTATGATCAGATTGGCATCTGGTATGACAATCATACATTGTCAACAGGAGTATAAATGTATGGATACTAGTATTGTCCACCAATTTAAAAATATACTTACACTTTCACCTATAAATTCTTGTTCTAGAATTTATCCTATAGATTTACTTGTACTTGAGAGAATTGATATGTGTATCAATAATCACTGCACCATTGTTCATAGTCACTATGTCCAATAGGAAACTGAGTATATAAGTTACAGTATAATCTGTAAAATGGAAAACTATACAGCCATTAAAAATAAAACAGCACTCTAAACAATGTAGCTATGTGAAATGATTTCCAAGGTATGACAAAAGCAAGACACAGAATAATGTACAACCATGTACCAAAAAAAAAAAAAAAAGGAATACATGTATATTCTTGCAAAGCATACATTATGTTTGGAAATTTCCACAAGAAATTTATACAAAGATGCCTCTGGGAAGAGGAACTAGATGATTAAGAAAGGTATGTGAAGAAAGCTGCATACCATTTGAACGACCTGAATTTTATACCATACGCATTTCTAAAACCAATAGAGTGGAATATGCAAAAAAAGAGGGGAAACTGTGAAACATGGAATGGTTGTGGAATCTTTGTATAAAGATTTATTAGTCTGCCAAATGGATGGAAGAAATGTCAAAGGAAACACTGCTAGCTTTTACTACATATCTAAATTCTAAACATCTTATATCAAAAAATACCAAAATCAAAACAGAAAGAACAAAGAAGGAAGACTGAGTTACTACTGTTACCCTATAAAGAATCTACACAGTGGTGCCTGGGTCATTCAGTCAGTTAAGTATCTGCCTTGGGCTCAAGTCATGATCTCATGGTCCTGGGATCAGCCCGGAGTCAGTCCTCCTGCTCAGCAGAGAGTCTGCTTCTCCCTCTCCTTCTGCCCTTCCCCCCTGCTCATGCTCTCTCTCTCTCAAATGAATAAATAAAATCTTTTTGAAAAAAAGAATCTACACAAAAACTTAGGAAAAACACATTAAATGTAGTAAGAACAAAAAGAATTACTGAAAAGCATTAAAAAACAAAACAAAACCAAAAACCTAGGTTAAACAGACTGTGCATCCTTGGTATGTTCCATGAAATACAGTTATAAAAGTTTCTCTAAGGATGATATAGACAAAATAACAGAGTTTTTTAAAAAAGGAATATTGGCAGGATAAATATTTTAGGTGAAAGAAACATCCATGTTTAAAGATTTTGAAATGAATTATGACATGAAGAAAGTGACATACAGAAATTTATGCAGAGTATATGTAAAAAAAAAAAAATGAGAGTCAAGAGCAAAGGGTAACAGAGAAAAATACCACAAGGGAAGAAAATGCTTCCCCATCAGTTTGTTTGCCAAAAATAGTAATTATCTGATAGTAGGAAACTATGCTTACACTCAGAATCTGCCACTGCCACGATATAATTAGAGATAATGGATATTAAAACTAGAAAGGGATATAGAGTCATTTATTAAGTTAATCATGACAGAAATTGAAAGGAATTGAGAATGGACAAAAGATAAAAACAAAGTATTGCCTGAAAATGGGGAGAGAAAACACAAAGAAACTGAGGATTTCAGAGCAAGAGGTCGTGAGCCTGAAGCCCTTAAGAAGGGAGCTCCTCTCCATAGAAATGAAGAGAAAAAATGGCAAGTCATTTGATACGACAGTGACATTTAAAAGAGGAAACTTGTGTCAAGTACCCCAGCCTTGCTGCCCAGACATGGGCCCTCTAAGATGAGCCTTCTCACCAAGAACCCTTCCTCACCATTCAGTGTGTTCAGCTACTGCTTGAAATGGTTCCCACTTCACTCACCAGAACAAGTATTTGATGGAATCTGTTGTACTTCCATCCATGGCTCTGCCCCTTGCTCCAGCTGAGTGATGAGTTTGGGTTTGGAAGAGAGAAGGCCTGTTTATAGAGAAAGAAAAGGAATGCTACTGTGGTTATGAGCAAAAGCAGCTATTCCAGACCTCAATCTCACGGAGGTCTCCATGTCAGGAAGGATACCACCCTCTGTGGTATCAGGATGTCCAAATCATGTAGTTATAGACACAAACATCGAAAAATTTAGATAACTGGCCTAGACTGCCCACAATGCTGCCATCTTAAACTCTATGCCTCTGACTTTCTGAGGGACACAATGAGCATTAACTCCAGTCTCAAAGCCCATGCTAAAAACAAACAAAACCTCCTATTTAAGATCTTTAAATACGTATATACCTTGTGAAAACCCACAGTTGCCCAGGAACTCAAATTTTGAGTTAAAAAGACATCCTTACGGGGCACCTGGGTGGTTCAGTCGATTAAGCATCTGCCTTCAGCTCAGGTCATAATCCTGGGGTCCTGGGATGCCTGGGGCTCCCTGTTCAGTGGGGAGTCTGCTTCTCCCTCTCCCTCTGCCCCTCTCCCCCTTGCTCACATGCATACATGCTGATGCTCTCTCTCTCAAATAAATAAAGTCTTTAAAAAAAAATAAATAAAGTCTTTAAAAAAAAAAAAGACACTCTTACCCACAGACACCAGATTCCCATAGTTTTCCAGCATCACATCCCTATACAGGGTCTGCTGAGTGGTATCCAGGTGTTTCCATTCAAACTGGGTAAAGGTCACAGCAACATCCCCAAATGTCAGTGATCCCTGAAAAATCTAACCCAATTCTGCGCATCCAGGAACTGTTTACACCCTTGACCCCGAAGTAGGGAACCAGGAAGTCCTCACTGGAAAAGGAAAGCTACCCGTTCAAGGCCAGCTTCTGATATTCCAGATTGTTTATGCAGAGGGAAGTGGAACACAGTTAATAAAAGGATCAAGGGGGCTCAGAAAGCAGACTCACTACACACGAACAACAAAATTAGAAGATAAGAAGCTGGAAAATCCAGCCAGGTATAAAAGGAGGTCATGGCCCCTCATCTGAACCACACTGGGCTCCTCCTGCTCTTCCAACACACCTATCATGCTCCTTCCTCTAGGCCTGGCATTTGCTCATCCCTCATTTTGTAGATCTTTACTTCAATGTCACTTCATCAGAAAGTTCTTTTCTCCCATTCTCTACCACCTTCTATCCCATGAACCACTTCACTTGCTTCACAGGATTTCTCCCTTCCTGGCAGGTCAGATTTATTGTCAGTATCATCTATAATGTGAGCTGCGGGAGGTTAGGGACCACTTGGGTCACTGCTGTCTCACCAGCCTAAAATACTGGCTGGCACATTTCGGAAGTGTCCAAGGATTTGTCAATCAACAAATGAACTGAAACTCCAAAAGACATGTAGAGTAAAACTGGCTTTATCCTAGAATTTACTGATAAATAATATAAATTATATATATTACATAATATATATAGATAGATATAGACATATATCTATATAGATATATAGCAACAGCAACTTAATATGTACCAGGCACAATGCTAGCCCTAGGATATACATCATATCTCTGAATTTCTACCATACTATCCATAAAGTAAATCTATTTTATAGCTAAGAACGGTAAGGATCAAAGAGTTGAAAGAATTTGTTCAAGGTCACCAGGCTGGTTGACTACAATATAAAAAGAAGCTATAAAAAATGGCAGACTATGGGGCAAATTGGAAGAAATGGCTATGACATATTAAAAGGAAAAAAAAATGGGTAAACCTAAAAAACACATATGTAAAACGGTTTCAAATGAAATAATTTGAACTGTTAGTGTGATAGAAATATAGGTAATCTTTAATTATTTAAATTTTCTGTTACTCTTAATTTGTACAATACTCAAATATGTATTCCTCCCTGCCAACTTCTGAAAATCCTTCAAAACCCAGTTTTCTCCAGGATAAGGGCAAACTCCAGCCTGGCATTCTAGGCCACAAATATTTCAAATTTCTCTGGGACCATTTAGATGTAATGGCTTCACTCATGTCTTAGCCTTCCCCTAGTCACCCCAACTTCTACAATTATGCAAGCTTCATTTAATCTTCAGGAAGAACTAAAAGGATTACTACCACCACCACCACCACCACCCACCCTTTGGATTCCTCTGACCCCTGAACATCAAGAGCACTACCATCACTGTGTCATGTGTATCATTCACTGACACTGCGGCCTCTGCTGTTCTAGGATAAATGAGTGTTTTTCTTCTTCTGTGAGTTGGCAACCCCTCTAGGGCAAGAGCTATACTTTACGTACAAAGTATTCTTCAGCTTCTAGCACTCTAGAAAGCATGGGAAGCAAAGATCTGCTTAGTGAACAACTCTGTCACGGGTAGAGAGGAAATGAGAGAGCAACAGTGGGGAGAGGTATCCTTCTGCACCAGTCCAGGATTGGCTCAGGCAACCTAATTTGGTTCATGTACTGAGAGTGTATCTTCCAGGAAAGAAGCATAAACCCAACTTCACTTGAAAACGGTGTCGATTTCTCAGGAAAAGTTGAAATCAAACTTGCCTGGATTTGGACTCTTGGTAGTCTTGGGGCCATCTGCCTCCTGAACTGTTCTCCCAGGCAAGGGCAAAGAATCCTCAATAAGCCAATCTGGGAAAGAAGAAAGGAAATATGACGAGTCCCTCCGTGTCCTAAACTAGCTAGAACTTTCTGGAAGCTGGACAAGACCAGTCCTCCTCCCTCCCTACTCTCAGGTGAGTGAATACGTGAAGGTGGTTAAGGTCAGGGCCGGCTGCCTGGAGTCTGGCCCCGCAGCCAGCTTCAGGCCAAACTCCGGGTGTGAGGGAGTTAGGCAGCTTCGCCAACAAAGGTGGAAAGTCTCACAGGTGACTCAATCCCTGGGCCTTAGTGCAAGCCTTTAAACTTTCGGTCAGGCGCCAGATTAAGGCGCTCACTCGGCAGGGCACCGCGCCTCGGGGTGGGGCCGCGGCCACATGTGCCCGTGCCCTTCTCAGCCACCTCCTTCCAAGGCCGGCCCCCTGAGGAAAAGAGAGGCGCACCGGGTCTCAGTGCCCCAGCCCAGCGACGGCGTTCCAGAACCAAGCTCGGCGGGCTGGGATACGAGGGTGGGCGGTCTGCGCTGCGAGGCCGAGGGCGCGGAAAAACTGCGACCACCTGGAAGGGTACTTGCCACAGAGACCTACAAGCTTGCAGGAGCCCGGCTCTACTCTCGCGGAGGCGGGCAGGGCCGGAAACAGAAGCGTCCGCAGGGGCCTCTGGGAAATGTAGTCTGGGATGCAGTCTAGGCTTTCAGAGTCTCCTTCCTATACCTTTGTCTGCATAGCTTTAAGAGCTTTAAAAAGCTACAGGGCGGAACCCCTGGGTGGCTCAACGGGTTAACCCGCTGCCTTCCGCTCAGGTCACAATCCCCATCCCCGAGTCCAGGGATAGAGTCCCGCCTGGGGCTCCCTGCTGACCAGGGATCCTGCTTCTCCCTCTGCCTGCCGTTCCCCCTTCTTGTGCCCTCTCCCTAGCAAAAATAAATAAATAAATAAAAAGCAATGGGGCCTTGGCTCCTAGGCACCCCCGGCATGGGGGCTTTTTAAAGCTCCCACGTGATTCTAATGTGCTGCCAAGATTGGTACACTAAAAACTTCCTATTTGCTGACATAGACGATGGAACAAGATTGAATCCATTTTTTTTTAAACGTGTTATTTTCTAGGGGGGAAAAAAAGTCCTACTTACAAACTCCAGGAATTTGACAGCTTAGGAAGGAAAATGTATCTCTTTTGTTCAATTAGGACTTTTTATTTGGAAGACTATTTCTCAGAATGGGGCATTTATTCACCAAATTAACAGTGATTAACCAGTGCCCTGCTAAATGCCACTCACTATTCTAGATGCCAAGGACAGAGCACTTGACAAGGACTTCCTCCTTAACCAAACTTTGGTCAGAATCTTCTGCCTGCTTCTTTTCCCTCCCCCTCTGTCCCTGGGCTCATGCTCACTCTCCATCTCAAATAAATAAAGTCTTTTAAAAAAAAAAAAAATTCCCCCACTCTTGATATCTAACCAAATGCTATTCTGCTCTCCCTCCATCTTCATACCTAATCAGTTCGTAGTCATTTTCCATTACTCCCTCACCCTGTCAGTTAGCTATAAATCCCAACTTGTCTCTGTTATATTGGGAGTTAAGTTCAGGCTCTCTTCCATATAGCAATGCAATAAAGTCTTGAATAAACTCTTCTTTGCAAGTTTCAAAAGTTGTCAGTATAATGACAGTGAACAAAACAAATAATGTCCGTCCCCTCAAAGAGCTTACATTCAAATGGACATCTAGAAGAGAGAGAGTCAACAAAATCAAGGTAAAGAGGTGAGAAGATTATTCTTATTCAATATAGAGCTGTAAGGACTGGCCCCTTTGATAATAGATCATATATGCAGAAATCTTTAGGAAGTGAGGTAACAAAAAGAGGAGTGTATCTGTGGGAAGTTAGTTTCAGGCTGATAAAACAGCAGATGCAAAGCCCCTACAGAGTATACTTGGTTTATTTGAGAAACAACAAAAGGTCAATGTGGTAAGAACACTAAAGACACGTAAAGGCTAGATCATGTTTGTCATGATTAGTTTTGCGTCAAGTTTATTGGGCTAAGGGATGCCCAGACAGCTGGTAAAACATTAATTCTGGGTGTGTCTGTGAGAGTGTTTCCTGAAAATATTTACCATTTGAATCAGTAGACTGAGTAAAGAAGATCTACCTTTACCAATATGGACTGGCATCATCCAATCCATTGAGAGGCCAATTGAACAAAAATGTGGAGGAAGCCTGAATTCTCTCTTTCTTCCCAAGCTGAGACATCCATCTTCTCTTGTCCTCAGACATCGGAGCTTCTGGTTCTTAGGCCTTCAGATTCTGGGACTTCCTCCACACACCACCCATCCCTTCACAGGCCTTCAGCCATTAGCTCCCTGGTTCTTGGGCCTTCGGACACAGACGGAATTATACTACCAGCTTTTCTGGTTCTCTAGCTTGTAGATGGCAGATCATGGCACTTAGCCTCTGTAACTAAATAAGCCAACTAATTAACTAATTGATTAATTACTCATATACTATCATTCTGTTTCTCTGGAAGACCCTGACTAATACAATATTGGTCCATTTAGTCCACTGCAAGGACACTGGCTCTTATTATTTTTTTTTAAAGATTTTATTTATTTATTTGACACAGAAAGACACAGAGAGAGAGGGAACACAAGCAGGGGGAGTGGGAGAGGGAGAAGCAGGCTTCCCGCTGAGCATGGAGCCCAATGTGGGCCTCGATCCCAGGACCCTGGGATCATGACCTGAGCCGAAGGCAGACGCATAACGACTGAGCCACCCAGGCGCCCCTGGCTCTTATTTTAAATGAAATAAGAAGCCATCAGAATGTGAGGAACTGGAATCCTTATTCTTTGTTGATAAAATGGTGTGGCCACTTTGGAAAACAGTTTGGCAGTTCCTCAAAACTTTAAACATGGAGTAACCATATCACTCAGTGATACAATTCCCAGATACCTACCAAACAGAAATGAAAATATATATCTAATATATATCTACACAAAAATTTGTACACAAGTGTCCATAGCAGTGTCATTTATAAGTGTCAAAAGTGGGAAAGGCACAAATGTCCATCAACCGGCAAATGGACTAAAAAGTATGGTATATCCAAACAGTGGAATATTTGGTAATAAAAGGAATGAAGTATTTATATATGCTACATAACTGATAAACTTTGAAAATAATACTAAGAGGGTGCCTGGGTGGCTCAGTGGCTTAAAGCCTCTGCCTTCAGCTCACATCATGATTCCAGGGTCCTGGGATTGAACCCCGCATGGGGTTCTCTGCTCACTGGTGAGCCTGCTTCCCTTCCTCTCTCTCTGCCTGCCTCTCTGCCTACTTGTGATCTCTCTCTGTCAAATAAAGAAGTAAAATCTTAAAAAAAAGAACAGAAAAGAAAAGAAAACAATACTAAATAATAAAAGTTGGTCACAAAATACAATATGATTCCATTTAAATGAAATGTCCGGAAAAGGAAACTTCATAGAAACAGGAAATTTAAAACAGGTTTGTAGGGATTGAGGAATGGGGAGTGACTGTTAATGGGTATGAAGTGATGGGGAATGATGAAATGTTTAAAATAGTAATTATATTCCTTTCCTAGGGTTATCATAACAAAGTATCACAAACTTAAGCAATAGAAATTAATTTTCTCAATCTGGAGGCTAGAAGTTCATTATCAAGTGAGGCTGGTTCCCTCTGAGTCTTTGGGTAGAATCCCTCCTTGACTCTCCCCAGCTTCCTGTGGCTACTGTCAATCCAATTTCTTGGCTTTAATTCTCCTATGTGTCTCTGTCTTCATATGGTATTTTCCTCTTACAAAGACAGCTAAATATATTGGATTAAAGCCCACTCTAATGACCTCATCTTAGCTTGATTATATCTACAACAACCCTATTTCCAAATAAGGTTACATTCTGGAATACTGGGCCTTAGGACCTCAAATATGAAGGGGGAGGGTAGGACACAATTTCACCCATAACATTTAGTTTTATGTGTTATGTTTTGTTCCTTAATGTTTTGCCTTTAATGCTCTCTAATTTCTTTTCTTTTATTATTTATTTGACAGATAGAGATCACAAGTAGGCAGAGAGGCCGGCAGACAGAGAGAGAGAGAGAGAGAGAGAGAAAGAGAGAGGAGGAAGCAGGCCCCCCGCCGAGCAGAGAGCCTGATGCGGGGCTGGATCCCAGGACCCTGGGATCATGACCCGAGCCGAAGGCAGAGGCCTTAACCCACTGAGCCACTCAGGCGCCCCCTCTAATTTATTTTTAATGAGGTTCACATCTTATAAGAGAAAGGATCAAATTTAAATTTGTCTCAAATGATTGGATAATCTTTCCAGCACCGTTGAAAAGTCTCTTCTTTCCTCCAGAAATTGAAATGCCATCATTATCTTATGCCACACTATACTGCCTCCCAAACAAAAGTTTGAGAGATTTCTTAACCCATGCTGTTTTTCAGAAGCACAGGGCTCAGCACACTATGTTATGTTAGTTTTAGGTATACAATATAGTGATTCAACAAGTCTATATGCTATGCTCACAAGTGTAGCTACCATCTTTCACCATACAACTATTACAATACCACTGACTGTATTCTCCTTGCTGTACCTTTTATCCTCATGACTTATTGACAAAATATTGAGTGAAAAAAAAATCAGGCTCTAAAACAGCCTGTATAGTATAATCCCATGGGGTATCTCACATAATAATGAGATAATGCCAGAAACGTGCTAGCAAGGGCCTATAGCAAGGTATGACTCACCTTATTCCAAGTTCCATGCTAAATTTGCTACTTGAATTATCTCATTTAATACTTAAAGCAAACCTATGAGGTACGTACAATTGGTACTCTCACTAGCAAAAACTTTTGTTATAAAAATTTCAAAATATGCACAACATAGAAGAATATAACTAGCCTCCCTGTATCCATAACCCAGGTTCACAAATATCAAGATTGCCTGTTTTATTTTATCTGTCAATGTCCTCTCCCCTCTTACTGAACTATTTAATCTATAAGTAATCAGGCATGTATCTTACCTAAGGGCATTATTTTTTACATTGTATGATTGTCACACTTAAAAAATAAGTAATAGGGGCGCCTGGGTGGCTCAGTGGGTTAAAGCCTCTGCCTTCGGCTCAGGTCATGATCCCAGAGTCCTGGGATCGAGCCCCACATCGGGCTCTCTGCTCATCGGGGAGCCTGCTTCCCCCCACCTCTCTGCCTGCCTCTCTACCTACTTGTGATCTCTCTCTCCCTCTCTGTCAAATAAATAAATAAATAATCTTTTTTAAAAAATAAGTAATAATTTGAGAGCCTGAATGTCCAAATGAACAATGGCAAGACCATAAATAAAAACAATCTGTAGCAACTAACCCAGGAAACCAACCCACAATCTACATTAACTAGCCCAGGAAGCCAGCCTGCTTGTAGACTGACTTGTAAGAAATCAAAATATCAGGGCGCCTAGGTGGCTCAGTGGATTAAAGCCTCTGCCTTCGGCTCGGGTCATGATCCCAGGGTCCTGAGATCGAGCCCCACATCGGGCT